AAAAAAAAAAAAAAAAAAAAAAAAAAAAAAAAAAAAAAAAAAAAAAAAAAAAAAAAAAAAAAAAGCGAGGAATGAAGTGACGTTATGAAAAAAGCCCATCCCAAAATATTACATCCCATTTAAAGATGTAGGAACCCCCTTTGGCTCGCAGGGCCGAGGCGCTGCGGGGCAGGGGGGGCGGGGGAGGGACGGGGCCCCCGCGGACGGCGAATCCCCCCTCGGCCCGGCGCGGCCAGCGCGGAGCGCCCGGCTTTGCTTCTTTTGGGGGCTTTATTTTTTATTTTTTTCTTTTCTTTTTTTTTTTTAACTAAACGGAGCCAATCCGGCGATGGGAGAGAAAAAAACCCTGCAGATTCATGTGCAACTTCTGAGCAGCGGCCCCGGCGCGGGGGGGTGGTGGTGTCGTTACTGCCCGCACCCAGCCCCGGTGCGGGGGGGCCGCCCCGCCGGCCCCGCGCTGCCCCCGCCGCATCCCGCTCATCCCGCGGGGACGCTGATTCCCCCCCCCCCGCGTTATTTAACCACCGGCAGCATCACGGTGCCACGGGGGAAGAAAGCGCCACTGGCAGCCCCGCGCTCCCCCCGCGCCCCGGGGAGCCCCGCAACCCCCCCGCACAAAGAGCGGGAGGTGGAAAAAGCGGAGCCCGCACCCGGCAAACTCCAAACCGCAAGTTCTCGCTCCGCAAGCCCCCGGCCCCGGCCGATCGCGGCCGCTAATGACGCTAATTAGAGAGCGCGCGGGGAGCGCCACGGGCGCAACACAAAGGGGATCCCCGGGCACCTCCCGGCCGGGGGGGCCGCGCCCCGCGCCCCTCCCGCACCGGGGGTCGCCGGTCCCTTCAGAGACCTGACCCGCGGCGCGGCCGCTCCCGGCGCGGGGCCGCGGCTTCAGCGCTGCTTCTTTCCCCCACAAAAATAAGAAAACCGCTTTTTTTGGCCTTTTTTTTTTTTTTTTTCCCTCTGCGGGGACGAGCCCCCGCATTGCCTCTTCCCGCACAACTAATTTCCACTCTTAACTTCTGCCGACCCCCGCGGCCGATCCCCGCCCGCGGTTGGGGTTCACCCCGCACACTCCCCGCAGGGACATCCCCGTCCCCGCGGGATGCGGCGGCTCCGCGCAAACTTGGCCAGGCGGGCCCGGTCCCCGCATCCTCCCGGGGCGGCTCGGGCCGCGCCGCCGCGCTGCCCCCGTGGCCTGGCAGGAGGAGAAAGCGGCCGAAACCCCGCACAGCGGGGCCGGGGGCAATATTTTTATCCCCACATCGAGCACGGTGATTCCCTTCTCCCACCCCAGCACGGGCAGGGCGGCCCCGCGCAGCGCGGACTTGAGCGCGACCCTCCCGGGCGTCACTTCCAAGTTCAAGTCGGTGCGGCTGGCGGCCTCTCCGCCCCTTTTTTAGCGGCCATTTTCAGCTCCATCCAGTCCTCCGCTGGCTGCGGAGGCTCCCCCCGCGCCGCGCCGCGACCTCCCCGCCGGGCGGCTCCCGCCGCCGCCTCCGCCCCCCGGTACCGCGGGGCGGGTGGGCAGGGGAGGAGAGACGGCGGCAGCTCCCCCCGCCCGCCCCCGCCGCCCCGCTCCCCCCCGCCCCGACACCGTATTAAACTCGGCCCGCCGCCCCCTCCCCGGCAGCAACTTTTGCTCGTGGGGGCACCCGCAAACACACGCACACGGGGGGGTGAAGGGGAGAGGGGGGAAGTAGAAGAGAAAACGAAAGTGTCATGGGACCTACCATCGCCAAGTGCAATTAACGGGCTCCAAGTTGCTGCGAAGCGCAAAGCAAAGAGGATGGATGGGCTGGTTTGGGATTTTGGTCTAAAACGTGTGTTTTCCACCGCGCCGAAGGAGGAGGAAAAAACCGCTGCCCCGCGAAAGAATTAAAAAAATTAAAACCCCAATAATAATAATAATAATAACAATGATGGTAATTGTAGCAAAAGTCCTCCGAGGCCAGCGGCACAGCCCAGTGTCCCCCGCGGGCGGTCACCCTCGCTCCGGCTCCGTCGCGCTGCCGGGGGCCATGCTCCGGGCGGGGGGCCGGGCTGCGGGCGGGGGGCGCGGGGCGGCGGTGACGGGAGCGCGGAGCCCGCGCCCGGCCGGCCTTGTGCGCTGCGGGGGTGGCGGGGCTGGGGGGTGGCGGGGGGTTGCGATGGGTATTTTTGGGAGGTAAGCAAAAAGAAAAATATTTTTTTCTAAAAATTAAAAAAAAAAAAAAATTAAAAAAAAAATTAAAAATAAATCCCGGGAGCGGGGCGGGCGGGCGGCGCCTACGGCAGAGCAAGGCGGGCATCCCCCCCGCGCCCCCCCGGCGCAGCCCCACTCCGGCCGGGCACGGCTCCTCCTCGCAGCCCGCAGCGCCCCGGCCCCATCGCCGCCGCCCCCGCCTCCTCCTCCTCCTCTGCCTCCTCCCCTCGCCCGGGGCACCGGCGGCGTTGCGGCGGGGACGCTCCCGGTGCGGGGGCGGGGAGGGAGGAGGAGGGAGAGAAGGAGGTGGAGGAGGAGGAGGAGGAGGAGGAAGGCTCCGGCCCCGCTCGGCCGGCAGCGCGACGGCGGCCCCCGGATGGTGCGGGTAGGTGGCGGGGGCTGCGGCGCGGCCCCCCCGGGGCCGGTGGCTGCGGGGCCGCCCCTCCGGCCCTGCCCGGCGCGGGGGAGGCGGGGGGCGCGGCCCCGGTGCGGAGCTACCGCAGCGCGGGGAGGAGCCGCGGGCAGCGCCGGGCCCACCGCCCGCCCCCGCCCCGGGCATCCCCCGGGCACCCCCGGCCCCGCTCGGCCCAGCTCCCGGCCCGGGCATCCCCCGGGCACCCCCGAACCCGCTCGGCCCAGCTCCCGGCCCGGCATCCCCCGGGCACGGCCGCGGGGCTCTCCCTCGCCCTCACCCCACCCCGCACACGGACACCCCCCGTCCCACGGACCCCCGCCACCCTGCCCCGGGTGCAGACACCTGCCCTGGCCGCCCTGCCGGCCACCCCCCTGTCCCCGGCGGCACACAGCCCCTGGCAGTGTCCTCCAGCCCCTCGAGCATCCTCCGTCCCCCAGGGCTCCCCACCCATCCTGTCCCCCCGCGCTCCCGCGTTGCTCCCTCGCCCCTTCCCCAGGAGCAGCCCCGCTTTCCCCGGCTCGAAGCCCCGGGCTGCGCTGCCCCCTCCCCAGTCCCACTCAAAGTTGGCAGCGACCCGGGCGCTGGGTTTGGTGCCGCTGTGGGGAAGGGCTTGTGGGGGGGAGAGCGATTCCCTCCTTTCTATCGACCCCTTTTGTGTCTGGACCTGGATTTTTAACCCTTGTTATCGAGTAATCCTTTAATCTCTTAATCCTTTCAAATAACCATATTTTTCTATAGGAAGGCAACAAAAATTAGATATTTTTTCAGTTTGCTGAGGGCCGAAGCGTGCATCGTGTGCCTGGATTTTTCGGCACGCTCTGTAGTCCTGAACAAACAGGAACATAATCTCCGTCTGCCTTGAGCTCAAATGGTTTCAGTGTGATAAATAATATGCTAAATAATTTATTGTATATTTTAAAAATAAAATTAAAGCAAACTACTCAGTCATTTCACTAGTTTTTATTCCATACATGTTCTCCTCTTTTTTTTATATGTATTTTTTTTAGGGGAGTACTCTGAGCCTGATAATTTTTACAAGGGCTCAGCTCAAATTTAGCAGGGATTTTGGATACACGGGAGGTTTATTTTATCCATCCCCCATATCCCCATTGCCTGTTAAACCCACCACATGCATACCAAGATACTGGACATTAATTTGTACATTCACAGGGTATTGTATTATATTATATATATATATATAATATATATGTATATATTAACTGAGTTATTTGTCAAACACAAGTACGGCCATCGGCCTTATGGAAATGAGATCTAATTTTATTCCAGCTGTCTATAAAAAAAAAAAAAAATTCTTTAAATTTAAAACCTCTAGAACCTTTTCCACGTTGTTTTCTGGGTTTTTTTTTTAATCACCATCTGCTCCCCCCCAAAAAAGCCACTTCCCTGTTTTAAAGCTGAAAAAAAAAAAAAAAAAAAAAGGCTGAAATGAGCAGTTCCCTCGCCTCGTCCCAGCTCCAGAAGCCTCGAGGAATGTAAACTCGGCGGTAACTCCACTCGCAGAGCACAGTTTGCATTTTCTGCCCGGCTCTGAGCGCGATACGGCGCAAAAATAAACCCTGGGAAGAATTTGCCAATTTTTAACCGCTTCCAAGGCCGCCGTGGTGCCCGCTGGCAGCTCCCTCTCCCCTGCCAGCTTTTTATTTTTCTCCAGCGATTCCTCGTCTCCCCTGGCCGGGTGCGTTTTGGGGGGGACGTGGATATTTGGGTTCAGATTTGGGTTCAGGCCGTGGGAGTTTGCGGGGCCGTGCCAGGCTGGCAGTGCCAGGGCGGGCGAAGAGGGAAAATGGGAGAGAAAGGCAGGGCTGGGATTTTATTTTCCCTTCTGCGAGGCCCTGGGGTGCAGGCTGATGGGAAGGGGTTATTTATTTCTTCATGATAAAGAAGTTATTATTTATAATAAATAATTGTTTATATTTATTTATTATAAATAAACAACTGCCGTGGTTATTTATTTTTGTAATGCTGTTAAAATATTTCCTGGGTGATTCAAAGCTGGGGCTGAAGGGCTGCTGGCATTTGGTTTTGAGACGTCCCCGTGGGCTTCCAGTGGCCCAGGGGCACACCTTGTGTCACCCCAAATTCATCCTGCAGTCTGTCCCCCAAAAATGATCCCATTTCTCCTCTGTCGGGGGGAACTCATCCTGCAGGAACCGTAGCAGCCCTGGCCGAGGGTGGAAATAATTTCAGTGCAGAGAGTGGCACCTGTCCCTGGCACTGGCAGGGCTGAAGGCAGAGCAAAGGGCACCCCAAATCCTGACCCCTGATCCAGGGGTCGCTCGGGCCCGGGGGTGCTGCAGGATTTGGGGTGCCGTGGGCTGTGCTGCCCATGGGCCCAGAGCTGCCACCAGACCCTGTGGCCACCATCCCCACTCCCCCTGCTCCCTGCACCCCTCAGCCTGAACCCCAATTCCTGGTGGAACCCCTAGGCAGAAAAACACTAAAAATACAAAAATCCTAATTTTTTTTTTTGTGTTTCCAAGCTGCCTGTAAACAGTGTTTTGAGGATGGGGGTGGAATCCAAACCAAATTTAATTTTCCCGTGCAGGCCATCCCTGTTGCCTCAAATAAAACAAAAAGAGTGGGGTGGATTTGGGGCGCAGTTCTGTTCCTCCAAGTGGTTTTTCGAAAGGATTGAAGGCTGGAGGTGGAAGCTGAGTTACCCCGATTTCAGGGAGTGGCTGGATCAGGCCCTTTGTTCATTCCATGGGTTTTTATCCCAGCCTGTTTGTGAGCTCACGACCCCCCGTCTATAAAACCAGTGCTTGGAACAAGTGGAAATTTGTGGGGCCCCCCCTCAAAGCTGGATTTTATTTCTAAAGGGCATTTCATGGTTGATTTGTGCTGCTAAGACACCTCGGTGCCAACTTTTGGGCTCAGCCAAGGGGATGCAGATACCCATGGAGCAGCACAGGGCTGGATGCACCCCCATCGCCACAGAAAAACATCCCCAGCCTCATTAACCCTTTTCTGGGACTCATTTTTAGCATTTTTACAGGGTTTTTTCCAAGGTCCCATTCGGCTGGGCGCAGCAGCACAGCCGAGCCACGTCCCCCTCTGGAAAGAGGGAGAGAAAGGGAAATAATCCATGTTGGGATAGTTTTGTTGCTGCCTTTCTTTGCTTTTAAAATAACTTTTAAGGAGAATATTCTGGTTTTGACCAGAATTTATTTACTTTATTCCTGCATATGGCTCTTGGCCTGAGTCCCAAACAGGCAGAGGTCTGGCCTGGCTCGATTCAAAGCCAAAACGTGCAATGAAAAGAGATTTTTTTTTTCCCTTTTCTCTTTCTTTCTAAAGCAGGTTTTTAACTAGTGAAATTGTTGCTGACAAGGAGGGGATTTCAGTTTAAAAATTGCTAGCAGATTTCAGGGAATTATTCTGCAGGAATTTCAAGGGGTTTTAGGATTTTTGCTGTGGCTTTTTATTGTTTTTTTGGCTGCAAGTTAGATGTAAAAAAAAAAATAATATGAATCCCTAATTTTTCCCCCCACTCTGCATTTTTTTCCATTGGCTCAAACATCACCTTTTCCCCCTGGATTTGTTGGAACCAGCCCTCAAAGAACTTGTGCAGCCCTTTGCCTGCTCTCACACAGTGTGGCACAGGGAACTGTGAGCTCACCGGAGCAAAGCTTCCCCAAAATGACCCTAAAACTCAGTTTTACATCAAAAAGGAGCTTTGGGGGGGTTGCCAAATAGCTTCAAACACCACCATGGACCCGTGGTGCTGCTGCCCTCCCTGTGCTGGGGCTTGGACCACGAATTTTGCAGCCACATGTGGATGGAGGCACCAGGAATTCTTGTAAACACCAAAATTTCACTTGTTAAAAAAATAAATTCCCAACAACAACCAAACCCCAAATGCAAAATGCAACCAGGAAATGTTTCCTTTTTTTTTTTTTTTTAACTTTTTTTTTTTTTTTTTTGTCCACAAAAAGACATAAATCAAATCTGGCCACTCTCCCAGGGCTGGTTTGCCGTGTTGGTGTTGGGGAATTTGGGGGAATTTCTGGAGTGGGAGGAATGGGGAGGAATATGGCCCTGACTCTTTGTTTGGAGTGAGTGAATCCCAGTTTGGTTTTTGTCTCCTCCCTGCAGACACAGCTGGCAGAGGGGGTCCTGCCATTGTCCCCATGTCACAGTCACGCTGCCGTGGCAGCCCTCGGCCCTGCAGCTCAGTTTGGGGAGCAGGAGCACCCCAGTGCCACGACCTTGGTGACATCCTCAGCACGGGGACGTGGCTCTGCACCACCACACCGAGCCCAGCAGCTCCCAGTGCCGGGCGGGCTCCCCAAAACGTTTGTGTGCCAAGGGGAGCAGCACCCAGGGGTGAGGGGAGGACAAAAATCCCCCCAAATACGGCTCTGCTGGAGGAGAGGGCAGGGGGGCAGGG